ATCAACGGCCAGACTTGCAGGAACAGCAGCAATATCCAGCGTTGCAGGCACAGGAGCATATTAACCTGCAAGATCCGGTGGCAGAAGAGCCTCTGCCAATTGAGCAGCAAGAGTTGCAAGGAGAAGGGCAATCCCCAGAAAACCAGCTACAGCCAGGGCAAGAGCCCGATGAGCCACAAGTTAGAGGGCCGGAAATCCAACCAGACGCCGAGCCACCGCCACCACTGCTCCTCGAGGAACTAGACGAGCAGGACTCGGAATCGCAGGATCTGAACGAGCAGCAGCCGGCGGTGATCATTGACGCCAACGCCATAGCCGAAACCATAGACGCCAACGCCGTGGAGCGCATCGACGACTACGAAGAGGAAGACGAGGAGGTGGATGAGGAGGAGGAGGTGGTAGAGGACCGGGTCGATAGAGCCGGTGAGGTCGCCTCCGTTTCCGGTGCAGCAGGCCAGCGCCTCCACTCGGTAGCTGTTCTGCCGCGCTACTCGGCAGCACGTGCACCACGAAGCGGCAGCAGCAGCAACAACAATAACAACAACAATAGCAGCCACAATAATAACAACAATAACAGCAGCAGCGGCCTATTGCGATACACTCGCCATTTTTACAGCAACAACGGCAGTCACTTCAGCAACGACATGTTCCCCAGCCACGCCCCCCGCAGCAGCACCCAAACATCGCCCCGGGTCGGAGGTCGTCGCCAGCACTCGACCCCGGCGGCCGCCTCCAACTCGCCACAGCACCAGGGCGTGGATCCCCTGAGGCTGCTCTACCCCAACGTCAACGAGAGCGAGACCCCGCTGCCCAGGTGCTGGAGTCCCCACGACAAGTGCTTGTCCATCGGGCTGTCCCAGAACAACCTGCGGGTCACCTACAAGGGTGAGTCGGAACTGAAAATTGCATTACCTGTATAAAAGATGTACTCATTAGTTCGCAAGCCATTATCATAAGGCACCTGTTCTAACCAGATGAGTTTTTTTTCGAGCTTCTTTTTTGCTTTTAAATTAAAACTCGGATATAAGTTTACAATATATAAGTACATATATGGCTAGTTCTTTTTATCACATTTTTTAGTTTATAGAATATCAAACTTGAAGAACCAAATGGGCCTCTATCTGTAATATGAAATATGTAAAATTGTACTGTAAACAAGTAAGAACGCTATACCGGAAATAGCCACTCTACATATTTGGCAGACTGAAATTGGACTTGACCAACGAATATTAAGTTTGTTACAAGCTTATTTATATATGTGGGCAAACAGTTAAACAGCAAAGGTCAGCTTAGAAGGGTTCATCTTTCGAAATGCGTCTGTAAAGAGTACCTGCGCGTTACCTGATGCAACATGATGTTAAATATATATTCCTAAATGTAACAAATGAAGGCAGACTTATACCAAAGTACACATATTATTAAGATTAGGCACTCAGTCGTGTACCAAAAGAACAATATTTTGATTTTCAAGAACATCCCTCTACCAATGGTATATTAAATTTAAAACATAATGCATTAATATCTTATCTCAAATCCGTAATAATTATTTTATACAAGCAGAATGTACTTTAGTACTTTGAATTTATTTGTAATCCCCACCCCCAAATAATATCTTTCTTTAAAGATATAACAGAGAATAGTAGAAAAAAGTAAAAAGATGCATCTGCAGTTTTTACGCTCTCGCGCAGTCCCTCTCTCTGTCTATGTTTCACCCACACAGGCACATACAGGTGCTCTCAGCTGTGTGCTGGTGGTTTTTGTTTTTCACTACTCACTTCTCCCACGCTCATTCGCGTGGCTGTTAAAACGTTAACAGAATCAGCTGGCCCAGTCAGTGTAAATTCACGTGTAGAATGCATGTAAATAGTATAGATTTACCTTTGAGGGCGTATCGCCCACATGTCAAAATGTATTTGCAAGTGCTCTAAATTTACATTTAAATTGAAATTCATTAAAAGAATAACAACAAGTTCTGATTTAATTTCTAAAATCTCAAAAACCAAATTTAATTTATTTTTTTCTTTAGGGACAAGAAACAAAGTTTTTACATCCTCTAATGGTTGTATCCTTGTAAATTAATAAAAAAGAAAAGTTTTTTTTAACAGATGCCAAAATTAATCGACCGATAATTATTTAATGGAAAGATATATTTATTAAAAATCGAATAGAAATAGTTTTTAAATGTTTTAATTGAGTACAATATCGACACCTCATTCCACGGACCCCTTTTCAGGAGTGGGCAAACAACACAGTGATGCCGCATCCGTGCGTACCGCCTATCCGATCCCGTCCTCCTGCGGACTCTACTACTTCGAGGTGCGGATCATCTCCAAGGGACGCAACGGCTACATGGGCATCGGCCTGACCGCTCAACAGTTCCGGATGAACCGCCTGCCAGGTTTGTGTTGCGTAGTGCTGCTCGGCGAGATGCCCCCATGATTCCTAATGACCGCACCCCCCTCAAGTAGGTTGGGACAAGCAGTCGTACGGCTACCACGGCGACGACGGCAACTCGTTCAGCTCCTCGGGAAATGGGCAGAACTACGGGCCCACCTTCACCACAGGCGATGTGATTGGATGCTGCGTTAACTTTGTGAACAACACGTGTTTCTACACCAAGAACGGTATCGACCTGGGCATCGCATTTAGGGACTTGCCGGTACGTATCTAACTAAGTTTCTTGTTCCTATATCTTATTACGTCCTGTGTGATTATTCCCAGACCAAGTTATATCCGACCGTTGGCCTACAGACTCCCGGCGAGGAGGTGGATGCCAACTTTGGTCAGGAGCCTTTCAAATTCGACAAGATCGTCAACATGATGAGGGAGATGCGCTCAAATGTGCTGCGCAAGATTGACACATATCCACATCTGCTGGAGACCCCGGAGAATCTGATGAATCGGTATGTATTTTTGTATAGGGCTTTATTTTAGGATCCAACTTATTCAATATTCGTTTTGTTTTCCATTTTTACAGCCTGGTTTCCACCTACCTGGTGCATAATGCCTTTAGCAAGACCGCCGAAGCCTTCAATGGCTATACAAATCAGTCCTTCGACGAGGACTTGGCATCCATCAAGATACGTCAAAGTACGTATATCTCTCTGCAACCTTAGGATAATCAAATCAACTAATAAACCATTTTCTTTGCAGAGATCATCAAGCTCATACTGACAGGCAAGATGAGCCAGGCCATTGAGCACACACTACGCTCTTTTCCCGGACTTCTGGAAAATAATAAGAACCTTTGGTTCTCCTTGAAGTGCCGCCAGTTTATCGAAATGATCAATGGAGCTGATATTGAGGTGAGACCTAAAGTGCTAGAACATATAAAATAGTTATTACCGGAGGCTGTTTAATAGAATGTCAACAACAAAGTCACCGCCACCACTCAGACCATGCCCACAAATCAGACGTCCGTGATACAGTCCACCAAGGCGTTCAAGCACAGCAAGAGCGGCAATGGAAATGGCAACGCCAACATCAATCAGACCCAGCAACAACAGAACACCACTGCGATTCCAGCTGTGATAAAGCCACAAGGCGGCGACAAGCCAGAAATAAAGAAGTAAGTGCAAAAAGAGCTCAAAAAATTTCGTTGTAATGATCATACTAATATTCTAATGTATTTTTCCAGCATGATGGTTGATGACAACTCCAACAAGTGCGTGGAGCACGACAGCAACAGCATGGACGTGGAAATGGAGCCCTGCCAGAGTCACTCCAACGGCGGCGACTCCTGCTCCAATGGCAATGCCAGCGCAGTGCGCAACTCTCTAGATGCCATCGACGAGGAAATGGGTAAGTATCTATTGGTTGCAATTCCGGGAAGATCCGTAATCGCCAGCACTTGCAGATGTAGATGTTTCCCCCTCATCGCGCAGCTGCGGTCGTGTGATCGAGAAGATCCTGGAGTTCGGCAAGGAACTTTCCAGCATGGGCCAGCAGCTGGAGAAGGAGAACCTCATGACTGAAGAGGAGCGTCAAATGTTGGAGGTACAGTCTTTCAGCTAGTCCCTTCTGAATTCTTAGAATGATCGATATTTCACAAAATAAGCACTATTAGTTGGAGTCGATTTGTATGTTCCTAATAACACTGACAAATCGTAAATGCATTCTAACGACAATTCGTAGCAATATTGTCGAATGAGATTGTGGTTTTAAATCACGTTTCACCCGCGATTCGCAATGGAAAAAAACAGGTTTTTTTTGAGGAAAATATAGGAGATCATAGGTCTGCTTTGTCTAGATAGAACTTTATTTGTTAAAAAAAGTTTGATTTGCTATCCGCTCTAGAAGCCATATAACGACCAACACATGCCGCAGTCAAAGAAAAAACGCAGAAATAAACTATTGCTCTCAGTTTCTGAACACAATACAGGATTAAATCGGAAGAGGGTTGCTCAAGAAAAGAGAAATAAAATTTAAAAGGTGAATAGTTGACAAAAAGCCCAATAACCAAAAGTAAGGGGTTCCAGATTTTAAAAATTTTTCTATCTTGGCTACTATTTTGACCACTAGTTTCCTTACCAATATTGCTTAGCATGGCCAACAAATGCATTTACCCCGAGGACTTTAGCATGATCTCTATGTCCTCTTGATCTATAGCTTAACCTGATCTATAAGATTTTAAGAGAGATCTTCAACTTCTACTTATATTTTTAGGATGCATTTAGCTTGATTGCCTACTCAAATCCCTGGTCCAGTCCGCTGGGCTGGCTATTGTGTCCCTCGCGACGCGAGAACGTTTCCACCACGCTCAACTCGGCCATATTAGGTGAGTCTTTATGGAACCTTCCTGTCCCGAAGTTTGGACTCTAACAATCCCCTGCATTACAGAGTCCCTGAACTGCGAGCGCCGTCCGCCGCTCGAGTATCTGGTGGCCCACGCTTCCGAGTTGCTCAAGGTCATTGGACAGCACTCGCTGGGCGAGGACGCTTTCATTACCATCGACGACGTGTTCCCGCAAAATTGACCCAGTTCGCCGACGCTGCTGAAGATGTTCGAGACCACGCTGACCCTGCCGCGCACCAGTGTGCTCACGGAACCGTTGGGCAGCGCCGGAACCGGAACTGGGCCCTCCACATCGGTGGCCGTTCAGACGAGCAAACGTCGCCGGCGGCGTCGAAACAAGCGACGTCGCAAGTCCTCGGTGTCCAGCAGTACCGATGCTCCATCGTCCCGCACCTACGATCCCGTAATGACGGGCAGTACACTGCGTTCGGGGGCGGCATCGGCGGGCGGTGGCGTTGGGACGGGACCAGTGCGTAGGGGTCGGCGCAGGAGCGGGGTCAGCTCATCTTCATCGGCGGCAGCGGCAGCAGCAGCGGCTGCGGAGGAGGAGGCGGAGGAAGCCGAGGCGGAGGCGGTTCGACAGGAGGAGGCGGCAGAAATCCTGAGCGGCAGCAGCAGCCCTTCGATGTTTGTCGATCCGCAGGACTTCTTCGAGACGCTTGACTAAATCTAGATTATTTACAATTCGTAGTAGGTTAAATTTTGTTGTTACTTCCGTTCTCATTTTTTACCCGCGCCACCGGCTTTCGTGCGCCTATTTAAAATAATTGACATTCTTTTAACTGTTCGATTATGCTAAAAATGCGATGCGGTCCTTGATTTAGCGTGATTTTTAATAACTTTTAAACAATATTTTATATAGCCTCTGTAAGCATAAAGTGTGTAATATTATGATGTATAATTAAATTTGCGAAATGTGCTGCGACACGACCCTTGAAACGGATTTAATTCTTTGTTTTTCGCTTCCACCGCCCGAACACAACACACCCTTCACCAAAATATAATCTAGAATCGATATTGAAGTGAACTAGCTTAGTGCAAAAACTGTTCAACCATCTACTTAGCAAGTTAATAGAGAACCGAAACCCATAGTTAATTGGTACACACCTACGTAGACTCTCCGCGTTCAAATTTCTGTATTTCCTGCGATTTTCGATGGATTCCGCGTCATTATGTGTATTGTGGCAAGACTAAGCAAAAGCAAATGAACATTTTAAGTGTAATATTTGGCTTTAGTAATTAAGAATATTAAAAATTAATCTACATATACAAGATTGGTCATACACACATACGGCAAGCATGAATACAATTTATCTGGATAATCGTTTAAATATATTGTATGGATGTGTATTTCAGGAAAAGCCTAAATGTGTTTTTAATGGAAGAAATGGTGATATATGTTTTTAGTGTATAATGGTCTACTCATCTACACATTTTAAAGCTCACCTTTTTTATCATTGTTACAGAATGAGAATTCAGGGGACAAGATTGAATATTATTATTTCATACTATTTAGTTATTTTAATGGTTTTTGTATGGTAAAAAAGGCATTGCTCGAGGTCATACGTTGGTTATATTTCAATTTCTTCTATAATACAACGTTAAGTGCAATTAAGTCGTTGTGTTATAGAAGAAATTAAAATATAACCAACGTATGACTTCGAGTAATTCAATAACACTACAATTATTGTTGAACAAGGTCGATACCAAAACCAACCTAAATAATAGTTATAAATACAAATATTTTATTTTTGTGTAACAATTATTTAGATTTCAGTATACAAGCTATGGTCATCAAAAACATTATTTTCTCTTAAAACAAAAACCTAGTGAAGATTAAGAAAACAAAATTAATATCAGGTGCAAAAATATGTAAAATGCCAAATCGGTGTTTCTACATTAATATTTAAATTGTGAAACCTTTTACCACACAATAGTTTAGTAATGCTCCTGCTAATACATATATGTATATATACCGTGGTATCTAGCTTTCAAAGTTAGGTGGTTTACAAATCCGGCTGTCTGATCCTTTGGACCTTTTCGTGGTTCTTTACATGCTCCTTTAGTAGCCGCATTATCTCCGTATCAAATTGCGGGGGCGTAGGCTTCGTTTCGGTGGCCCAGTAAAAGATATCCCAATCGTTGCTTACACCATTAATTAGCTGATCATACTCGGCAGTCTGATCGGCATTGAAATCCTTCAGATGCTTGGCCACAAAAGTGCTCAGCAGAAGGTCGTTTTCCAGCATTCCACGTTTTCGGCTCTGGTACAAGAGGCTATAAAATATATGATTATAACTAGGAGTCAATAATATTTAAACTACGATATACCGTTGCTTTCGAGTTTCGAGGGGCTCCTCCGGACGCACAGGATATTCCGGGACTGGCAAATGCGGCGGATCTTCGTAGTCCACAATTTCCCCTGGAGTTGTAAACTCAGTTTTGTCCAAATTGCTGACAGAGCGATTTCGGGCAATTAAAGGGACCGCCATTCGGCGCCCCACTGTGGTTAGCTAGACAAAGAAATTTAGTTAACTACTTATGATTTACTGAAGTCCTTATACTTACCAGTAATTGCCGCAACATTTCGGGATACAAACAAATCAAAAACAATGATATAACGACAGTGTTAGTCAACCACTTTACAAAACATGCAGAAGCGATAGCAGCGTGCTATAAAAATCGATAACAGTTACTATAAATGGAACTGGAATATATGAAAATAAATGATATATATTATATTTAAATATTAAAAACGATTTTGTCTAGCGTTTTAGTTTTATTAATTTTATAGAATATAAGAGATTTGTAAGTAAATGTTGCTTAGTTAGTAATTATTAAGCATTACAAAATTGGGTTATATGGGTTTTAGTTAAATGGGCAATAGAAAGTACGTAATTATTTGAGACAGATTAAGAGTAATTCAGTTGCTTAAAACAAATATATTTATAAAACAAAAATATACTAATTTTTAAAGGTTCGATTTTATAGTTTATTATGGTTTGCGTTTAATAACTGTCTTTAAAAACTTTAGAATCCTTTTCCAGTGATAAATAAATATGAAAATTGGTTAACACACACTAAAGTATGAGGAGAACTAACATTACATGAAAACTATTAAAACTATGAAAACTACTATTGTGAGAGATCTTTTATGTAAAGAGCATATTTTAAGCGTAATACATTTTTTTTACAACGTCAGGATGTACACATTTTTAAATATTTTTTAAGCTTATAGCAGCTGTTGCTCCCAGTGTTGGTTAGCGCCCGCCCCCGCCACTACCAGTGCTGCTCAATGCACCGCCAACAGCTGTTCGCCACTCGCGTTCTGCAGTTTGAAAGAGCGAACGAAGCGAGAGAGAGCAGCTAAATTTTCGCACACACGAAAAGTGCAATTTACCAATATCACTGCGGCCAAAAATACAAGTGCAAGTGCTCGGCAAGTGCAACGGTAATGCCCACGATCGGTGCAAAAACAACGATTCGCGAAAAAGGAACGCAAAGCGGGCGGAACCAATAAGAATAGGCAAAAGGCAAAAAAGAGAGCCTCCTGCACACACACACATGAACACATATTCAGGCAGCAGAAACAGAGACACGCACACTCATACACTTTAGCGGTGTGTATACATTGCTGGCTGGAAAACTAGGCGGTGGTAAATGTGAAGCTGAAAAAAAGTAGAAAAAATACAAGGAAAAGAAAAACTCGGGGGGTGGTGGGTGGTGGAAAAGTGGGCGGGGGGTGTGGCGTGTGCAGCGCGTGAGAGTGCGTAGCGCGTGCGTGTGAGTAAGTGCGAGTGTGTGTGTGTAAGTGAAACAGCGACAAACTAAATGAAAATTTATACACCCGAAATGATTAATTGTTTGCCCAAAAAGCGCATTAAAACAGCTAAATTTTTACATAATTAAATTTCCTTAAGAAAATCCTCAAGGGAAAACCACCAAATCGCCACCTTCTTCCAAGTAGCCGGCTCTTTTTTAGCGCCTACGCCCACGCTTAATACATACACACAGCAAATATAACAAATAAGAAAAAAAACAAGGAAAAGCTAGTACAAAAAATATAAAAAGTAAAACCCTAAACAATTAAAACCCCAAAAAGGAATCTCCTAAAGTGAAACTCCGAAAACTTTTAAACATGACCAAAAAACAACATTTTAAAATGTAAAAAAACTAATTTATAAAAAAAAAATTATAATCCAAAAAAACGTTGGATTTTCTGACCTCCAGACTAATTCACTTACATGATAAATTACCGCCCGTTATCGCTATCCAGCTATATCTGTTGGATTTATCTTATCAGCGCAATTGATGAATTTTGTATCGATATCACAAAAACATGCTCCATATGCAAATTAGCTGGACTATCATTGCTTTTGCTTTTATTTTTACTTTGCGTCTACTGATAAAAACCAATAACAAAAACAACATAATTGAAACAGTGCGCGCCCTATTGGACAGACAGTGGCGGTCATAAAATAAGGCCCAGTCATTGCTTAACTCAGTACAGTGCACGACATAAAGAGTGAACCGTCTAGTCGCTGTGTATTCAAAAACATTTAAATTGAAATATTAATGCCGAACGTAAAATAAAATAATAGAACTGGGGCACTTTAAAATGATTAAAAGCATTATATTGTTAAATATTGTGTCACTAAGATATAAAGTATTATTTATCAGTATTGTTTTTTTTTATTAACTCTGAATTAACAATCAATTATATTTTATAGCAATATTATGAAAGCAAAAAAAAAATAAAATGAAATGAAATATTGGTTACTATCGCTATTTTGTTTGTCTTGATAAAACATGCAAATAATTCTATTATTTTGACCTCTGGTTTCCTTTATCGAGCGTGCACTGTTTTTAGTGATTCATTGGCTGACCCGTGCATTTGTTATTGTTGATGGGTTCAATTATCCATTTCAGTTGAAACCGTTAAACTGTACATAAGCAAATAAGATAAAAGGAAAAAACTCCAGGAAAATTGGAAGAAAACGATTAACCGAAAAGCCCCCGTGTAAAACCAAATCCAAACCACCCACACAACCACAATGGGCTGCACCACATCCGCCGAAGAACGCGCCGCCATACAGCGATCAAAACAGATCGAGAAGAATCTGAAGGAGGATGGCATCCAGGCGGCCAAGGACATCAAGCTCCTGCTGCTGGGTAAGTGCACTTTTCCCCCTAGATTTTCCCCGCCGGATGTGGAAATTGTGCTTCGCGCTTACCTTTCCACTCGTGCGCGTTTCTATTGTTCTATTTCAAGGGAAATTGCTGGTTTATCGGCGGCTAGAATCCAGGGCACTTGAGTGAGTGCTTTGAAAAATTGTATTTTCGGTTTTATGTGCCGATAGATAGGGAAATATTTATTGCACACACTTTCACTCAGCGGCGACAGTGGCGGAAATACTGGATATGCAAAGCGAAATATTAGCTCCTAAAATATTGTGGGGCATTTAGGGATTTTCAATTGGTTTTCATCAAAATTCGCTTCGATGTATATATGTAGGAAACAATATGTACCACTAAAACAGTCAACTTTAAAAAACATAAAAGGCTTTTTTGGCACTATTGTTTCCTGCAAACTGGCATGAAGAATATTCCATTTAGTTAAAGTTTTGTCAAGTGTTCCCAAACTGACAATTAGTTTTGTTTTCGATAAGGTAAAAATGCTATTCCAATGAGCCAAAGTTGATAAAGTTTAATTTAACGACTTGTTGCTCCACAAAAATACCCATTCAAGGTTAAACCACTCTATTTGACAAATAATGCATCGATTCCATGTCAAAACTATTCTTGGCCGTTTTTTTTGGTCAAGGGGAAACCGAAACCAACAAATTTGGGTCAACTTTGGGTGTTGCATGTCGGATGGTTATCCCAAAATAAGGTGGACTCACGAACCACTGTGCAGGAAACATCGTGAACAATGGCAGCAGCAACAGTTGCATCTGCCTTTGTGGCAGCCGAGTGTGAAAACTAAACACTTTCGAGGAGCCATGTGGCTTGTGGAGCCCTCGCCTCGATTCAAGTGGTGCAAGTAGTGATGGGATAGAGGTACCATATTGTTTTGATATAAACAAAAAATATTCTTAGAAAATGCGTGCAATACATTCCATAAACGTACCAAGGTTTAGGACAGGTAAACTATTTGGTTTGTTATTGTGTAAATCTTAAAGTTAACACATAATTATTGAATGAATCTTCTTTAACAACAGCTTACACTCACTGCATATCTCTGCGTACACCCCAAAAAATTTCAAAATCTAACTTTAAGCCCTAACTTTTCGGCCATTTATGCATATATTCAACCCATTCTTTTTTTAAACATAATTATAATTTATTGTCTTCATTGACGTATTTTTTTTAAATTATTCAACAGTGTTTTATATTTTATTTTTAATTTTAAACTTAACACTACCAAAAATGTACCCGCAAAGTCTGCGTACACCTGTTTAAATCACAAATAATATTATTTTTAGTAACTGGTAGGGTATCCTTTTCTCTGCAAAACTCCCGTAAGGCGTCTCAGGATGGAATCCACTTTTTTTGTCTCATTTGCAGTAATTTTCCCCTACTCCTCGAGAATCACATTCTTGAGCATTTTTAGATGTTATCGTGTGTCTTCGGATTTTCCTCTCAAGAAGATCCCAAAAATGCTCATTTGGGCTTAGATCAGGACTATGGGGAGGTGTTCGCAGCTGATTTATGACGTTATACAGCAGCCAAAGCTTGGTATTCTGCGCCGTATGCTTCCGGTCGTTGTCTTGTTGGAACCAACATTCACTTTAAAGCCCTAATTTTTCAGCACTTTCTTTTAAATTGTTTTTTAATATGTCAATATAGATTTTCTGATCCATTATTAACTCGATAAATACCAATTTTCCAACGCCACTTGCTGCCATACACCCCCACACCATTATTCCGCTTCCTCCTTGCTTTACTGTGCCAACCAAATTTTCTTAATTTGAGGCTTCTCCGCTTTTCCTCTATACCAAAACCTTTCCTTGATTCCAAATATGCAGTATTTAGTTTCGTCGGGAAATATAATCTTATTCCAGAAGTCTTGGTTTTTGGAAATATACTCATTAGTAAAGGTTAGGCGCTTTTGTCTATTGACTTCCGATATGAGAGGTTTTTGCGGGCGACTCTGCTATGGTAGTCAGCCTTTTTTATGGTCCGGCGTACAGTAGCTTCGGAAACTCTTTTGGAAAATCTATCCTCGACCTTCAGCTTTGCCTGGTGAGCTGTCGTCCTTGGGTTGAGCTGAATAGATTTGATAATATTCCTCTGCTCGCGGTTTATAAGCAAAGGCGGACGGCCAAAACGAGCCTTTGGCAAGATACTTCCAGCCGAGTTGTAGTTATTTATCACTCTTTGGATGGATGAGTGGGTTCTAGCAACTAAAGCACCAATTTCTCTATAAGATTTTCCATCCAAAAACCTTTTAATATAATTTTCCACTCCTCAACAGAAATTTCCTTGCCTTTTTGTTCCATGTTGCAATATGCTCGTTATTATAATGAAAGAGTTTCATTTTAACTGCGTAATGTCTATTTTTAGACATTCTAAAGTAGATCGGCGACAACAAAATTAACGGAAATCGCACAATCCTGCATTCCTCGAAGTTGAAAACTGCTGTACGCA